GCTTCCTCAGTCCTAGCCTAGACTGATTTTAAGCTTGAGATAATGTTGGTTTTACTTACGTAATGTTTTTTCTTTCAGTCTGCCCTCAGCCAGTGCACTAGCCGAGCTGCGGTCGCTGAAATCTCTCCACTAGCAGCTCCTTACGGCCTGGTTGCTCCCGTCTTAGGCACTCCCTGTGGACTGGCTGCTTCTGAGCTTGTGGCCCCATGGGCTGGTCTTGGAGCTGCTGGCTTAGCAACTCCTTATGGTCTGGCTGGTAGAGGCCTGGCTTACGATGCCATCATCGGTGCCCCCGCCATGGAATTCAGCCCCACCAGCGGTGGTGGTCTGCCTGTAACCAGTGGCTCCGCCATCGCTCCCGTCGGTATCTCCGTGGTGTCTGACAATGTTTACGAGGGTGCTCTGGAAGTGATTGGAGAGTTGCCATTCGTGGGTACTGTCGCTATGGAAGGCGTGGTGCCCTCTGCCGGTGCTGGTGCCGTCAACCATGCCTGTGGTAATGGCAGGACCGCTATGGCCAGTGGCTCTGCTGCCTATGCTCCGGCTGCTGCACTGGCTCCTCTTGCTGCTTACGGTCCCGCTGGTGCTTTCGCTCCCACTGCTCTTGCTGCTCCTGGCCTCGGTTTCCGAGGTGATCTGATCGGCAGAGGTTGTGGTTGTGGATGGGGCATCTAAGACGTCATGTCGTGATTATTGACAAACGACAGCAATGAAATAAATAGCAATTCAACAAAACTTTTCGTTTAATATTTTGTGTCTCACTTCTTATTTTAATTTCTTCTTCTCTCTTGCGGATAGTACTAAGTGGAAGTAGTAGAAAAAAGTAATCTATAACAAATCTATTCATAAAAACAGATTAGTAGTATTCTCACAAGTTATGCAGTAACCTTTAATTGATAATTCCAGGGGCGGAAAAAAATGGGTCTGCCTTTTAAAATGGAACTTCTGTCGTCATCATTTTATTTTGCATAACAACGCATAGCATAATCTTCATTTTACAGAAAGTTGTTTTGCATATGAGTGTACGCAAAACCACTTTCTGTCTTTATGTCTTATCTTAAATTCGAAAATCATAATTTTGTTACTCCGAATCATCTTCAGGCATAAATTTCATGCCCACAATAATTGAAAAGCAAAACCATGAAATCGTAGAAAATTTGGAGTCAGTGTATTTATTTTATTAACACATTATTTTTTTGCCACGAATTTAAAACGCATGTAGCAAGCATCGTTTCTGTCACGCCGTACGCAACCCAGAAACTATTCAAATTGCGAATTTTTCATTTGCCTGCCTACCGGTTATACTATTTTTATTGGAATAAGCCGGTAAACGAGCGGACAGATCACCAGATGGTAAGCAATCGGCGCCGCCCATGGACACATGAAATGGCGTCACAAGTGCGTTACAGGCCTTTTGGGGATTGGGAATTCGAGGATTCGGGGATTGGGGAGAATAGGGAGTAGGCTAATTGGACCTCCGGTACCCTCACTCGCACGTCGGCTTTCTGTGTGGTCGTGGTATCACTCCGGTCGAGTCGGCCTATTCGTGCCGAATCATAGCTCTCCCACACTGAACTATGAGAAACACCTAATATGGAGAGAAATAAAATCTAGTACATAATGACTATAATGATGGTGATGAAGAAGAAAATCTAAGATAAAGAACATTGTTAAACGTAAATGCAAAGAAAGCACGTACGACAATTAATTTAATTGAATGAACTTGTCAACTTAGCTTTTAATATAACACCTGTCGAGGCACGCGCCGTTTGTTTTATAAACAAAAGTATCATGTTACTTACTGCAGCGGAATCGGTTTAGTTTTATTATAGTTTTACTTTAATATAATTGAGATGATGACATGGTATGAAAATTAAAAGTAGTCCAAAAGTTAGGTAATGAAACAATATTAGACACGTATTTTTTTATTTTGTCATATAATAAAACAATACTTAGATAAAACGAATCAAAGTTTAGGAGTGGGGGCTAAAACGTTATTTCTACGAATAAAATGTGCATAGAAGTGACGTCACGCGGCATTTCAAATCAATATAATTATCGTCGAAAGTATTCGTTTCTGTAAGAAAATAAAAAATACGTGTGTAATGATTTAAAACAATCTACCAGACGGACATTAAAATAAAAATTAGGCATCTACCGTATTGTTCAAGTAGTTAGTTTACATGTGGTTGTAAGTCTATCAATGTTTCGGGATCGGTCGAATTGAGAAAAGACATAACTAGTTATAATTCAGAGCATCAGAGGATTTAGATTTATTTCACCCTCGCGTCTGCCCGCGACTTCGTACGCGCAATCCCGTTTCACCCGTTCCCGTAGGATTTTTAGAACTTTGTTCTGTCATAAAAACCTTCTCCTGACGATAACAATCACAAAAAAATCAGCTAAATCGATCCAGCCGTTCTCAAGTTATGGCGTGACAACCGAAAACGCGTGAGGTTACTGGAGGCCCAATTACACTCCCCTTCCCCAATCTCCCCTGTTCCTGAATCCCCAACGATCCTCAAAATAATCCCCAAAAGGCCGGTAACGCACTTGTAACGCCTCTGGTGTTCCAGGTATCCATGGGCGACGCCGATTGCTTATCATCAGGTGACCCGTCTGCTCGTATACCGGCTTATGCCATAAAAAATGGGTTTCATTTTTACCGACTTCAAAAAAAGGAGGAGGTACTATGTTCGGCTGATTGTTTTTTTTATTTTTTTTTTGTTTGTTCGCGCAGTACTCCGCCATTTGTGAACCGATTTCGAAAATTCTTGTTTTGATTGAAAGGGTATACTCCCGAGATGGTCCCATTTCCATGAGGTCAGGATCTGATGATGGGATCCTAGGGAAACCGTGGGGAACTTTCGAAAATTCTATGGGGGAGTAATGCGTCTATTATGATTTTCAATTACAATTTTTAAACACTACAATTTGATAAGGGTCTGGAGTCGACCTGATGATGGAGTCGACAGTCAGTCGAGGGAACTCCTTAGCGGTTTATATTAACTACCTTGTTTTTGGGGTTCATTTTTTTTTTTGATGAGGACTTTCCACCTAGATAGAGTGGGGCTGTCACTATGGGTCTGATGATGAAGAAGTGTAATTTTTAAGGGAACTCCTCAACGGTATACTGTAACTACCTTGTGTTTGGGCTTGTATAATTTGTATTGCTTAGAACTTTGCACCTATGTATATTATAAGTAACAAAACGGGTATAATTATGTAGCTTTACACTGAAAATGATAAAATAATAAAATAAAAACTGCGTTTAAAAACCGACTTCAAAAAACCAAAAACTAATAACAAACAAAAAGTCAAAACTAAAAAGCAAAAAATAACTATTATTAGTACTGATAGGTTACTCACCGACTGATAGGTAAGAAGTCGGTACCATAAGATCATATCATAATGATAATAATAAAACTTAATGTCCACAAAATTGTGAATTAGGTTTTAATGAATAATTTTGTATGGAACTCATGGCACCGACTTCTTACCTATCAGTGGGTGAGTAACCTATCAGTACTAATAATAGTTTTGACTTTTTGTTTGTTATTAGTTTTTGGTTTTTTGAAGTCGGTTTTTTAAACGCAGTTTTTATTTTTAGACTAGTGTACGTAGATTGAAGAAATTAATGTCTGTAAATTTCTTTAAAACATAATGGTATCTCTCTTTTTGTTTTTTGAATCAGTTTTTGCGTAGCATGCTCTCTTGTAAACTAAATAGTAATTTAATTGACCTGCAAGCGGAATAATGTGTTGACTGTTTATCTATAATTTAATCTATGCTTATGTTATACCTAGCTGTAAGTTGAAATTGAGCTTTTCAGTATTTTAAATTTTTTCAAAAATCAATAAGGACAAAAAATCACACTCGAGCCCAGTTCAATTAACGATAGGATATTTTGTTAATTGACTGACGAACGAATTGATTTTTAGGTCATATTGGAAACAAAGTAGTCTGAAGGACAAATTATTAATCTATGTCCGCAGTAAACTAGAGGCAAAACCAGGGTGTTCTAAACTGTTTTGAGTACAACAAAGGAATGAACAAAGATAGTTTTTGATATCAAAAATTTATTACAAACTCCGCAGGAATCACAGTCAAATGCAAAACCATTTGCTTAGTAGTAGATTAGAGCATTGCAGCCGCACGCGCACTGTCCGGTGATGGATACAGAGCCAGCTGCAGCCACAGGTCCACCGAAGCTCACAGCGCCCATGATGGGGACCTGACCAGCGACGGCGGTAGTACCAGCGACTGGCAGCTCACCAGCGACCGCCACGTTGCCTTCACCAGCACCACCGTAAGGAGCAGCTCCAGGGTAAGCCAGACCATCATAAGCTAAAGGAGAAGCCAGACCGAAAGGAGCGGCAATGCCAGGAGCAATAATTTCAGGAACAGTAAGGCCGGGAGCAATAAGGCCATTGGCAGCTAGGCCAGGAGCAGCCCAACCACGAGGACCAACCAGACCACGAGCAGCTAAACCAGGAGCAGCCAGACCGAAGGGAGCGTCAACAACAGCAGCGGGGCTGGTGCACTGACTGAACACATGCTGGAATAGAAATACAATTGTATCAGTTGAAAGGCGCACAAATAATATAGACAATTGAAGTATATCATCGGAAAGATCTCAAAGCAGATAGTTATACAAAGTAAAAAAAAAATCTCACCTGGACCAAGCAAGCTTGGATGCAGAGGAACACAACAGCGAAAGTAGACATGTTTATTCAACGAGGAGCTGAAAACTGAATGATGAACTGGATCGGTCCCCGAGCTTATATACTTGACACATTGTTCATATCTACCGCGAGGAGCTCACATTGTGTAACTGTACAAAAGTGTCTCAACAGTAATTAATAATTATAATTATGCGTTTCTTTGTTAGTCAATTATTGTGATTATCAAATATCATGTTTCAGAATTAATTGTAATTCCCTACATATAATTCTTGTGAAAAGAAAATTAAGTATAAAAGCAGTAACATTTCTGTGAATTTTATCATTCTCGTGTCAGCACTAGAACAGCAGCATCATGTCTGTGAAGGCTATCCTCGTCCTCTGCGCCCAGGCGCTCCTCGTCAAGGTGAGAATCGCTGTTGTTTTATAAATTACCCTTTTCATTCATTTAATAAATGGTCTATATTACTACTGATTTTTTTATTACTTTCAGTCGGCTCTCAGTCAAGCTTGTGGATACGCTGCCCCCGTTCTCGCTAGCCCTTATGGACTGGCCGCTTCTGAGCTTGTCCTTCCTTGGGCTGGCCTTGGAGCTGCTGGCTTAGCTTCTCCTTACGGTCTGGCTGGCAGAGGCCTGGCTTATGATGGCATCATCGGCGCCCCCGCCATGGAGTTCAGCCCCACTAGTGGTGGTGGTATGCCTGTGACCAGTGGCTCCACTATCGCTCCCGTCGGTATCTCCATGGCATCTGAGAATGTTTACGAAGGCATCCTGGAAGTAATTGGAGAGCTGCCATTCGTGGGTACTGTCGCTATGGAGGGCGTGGTGCCTTCTGCCGGTGCTGGTGCCGTCAACCATGCTTGCGGTAATGGCAGGACCGCCATGGCCAGTGGCTCTGCTGCCTATGCCCCGGCTGCTGCGGCTGCAGCACTGGCTCCTCTTGCTGCTTACGGTCCTGCTGGTGCTTTCGCTTCTGCTGCACTTGCTGCTCCTGGTCTTGGTCTCCGCGGTGATTTGTTCGGCAGAGGCTGTGGCTGTGCCATCTAAGGATGTAACTTAGAATATTAACAAAATATTCAAGATGAACCGAAGAAGAAGAAATGAACATTTTTAATTATATTGAATGCACAATATTTTTTGGTTATATTTTTCCCTTATTCCAACTGTGATTTAAAATTAGGTTCCTAATTTAAAATTATAAATAGTTAATGATTTGGATGACCGGATCATGTCGCGACCTGTTTGTTTACACCGTCGTTTTTAAAAGGACCCAAAAATGATGGTACAATCAAACAGTGTAAGTCAGGATCTACAGTAACTACATACAACCATGAAAACATCGGAACACTAAAGTCCGGCGCGTCTCAGAGACATGAATAACTATCTTAGTTCCCGCAACGAATTGAATCAGAAGATATTATAAGAGGAGAAGAAAAAAACGAAGTGGATTGAGCATCCAGCGACACTTTGGCAATGCGTAGAGATGTAGCTTCATTGTGCATTTTCTACTGCTTATACCACGGGGAGTGCTCTGAGGAGTTGTTTGACCAGATACCTGCCGCATCTTTTCGCCATCGACCCTCACGACAGCATATGCATCCCCATCATATAGATGGTTGGCAGGCCACAACTGTGCGGTTCTCACGTAGCTTCCTGCCTCGCACAGCAAAACTGTGGAATGATCTGTCGTCGGCGGTATTTCCGAACCGATACGACCTTCAAACCTTCAAGAGAAGAGCGTACTCCTTTTTAAAGGGCCGGCAACGCACCTGTTATTCTTCTGGTGTTGCGGGTGTCCATGGGCGGCGCTGATCGCTTACCATCAGGTGATCCGTCTGCTCGTTTGCCTCCTATTCCATAAAAAAAAAAAATCCAGAACCACTAGAACTCACGATCACCGACCATGGACACCCGCAACACCAAGGTAAAGAGTCACAGGTGCGTAGCCGGCCTTTTAAAAAGGAACACACTCTTTTCTAGAAGGTTTCGGTTCGGAAATACCGCCAACGATAGATCATTTCACAGTTTTGCTATTCGAGGCAGAAAACTACAAGAGAAGCGCACAGTTACGGCCTGCCGCCCATATATGAAAGGATATGCTTAGGGGTTGATTATGCTGTCATGAGAGTCGATGGGGAAAAGACGCGGCAGGTATCAGATCAAACAATTCCTCAGAGCACTCCCCGTGAGATTTTAAATCAAACGTCTTCAATTGATTGAGCTGAAGTTTTGTATACACGTTTAGTTTGCATAACCATAAATAATTTTCAGTGTTTAATTCAAATAATATAAAAGTTTGTTGTGAGATTAGGTATGGTATAACCATCTCGTATGTTTTGTCGAAGGGATAGGAATAGATAGGGGATTGAATTATTGTCAGACATCATGCACGCTTCCAGTCTCTTAACACGTCGCGTCGTGTGAACGTAGATCTACGCGAGACACGATGCATTTTCTATTGTGTCGTATACAGAGTGGAATGTAATGTGCATGCAATGATGCATCAATATAATATACGTATTTTTTTTTTTGTCTTTGTCTAACCATAAAACGTTGCTACCATCCGTGCGTCACTGCGTGGGTGCCCACTGAAAATCAGTGCTGGGTGACTTGTATGCCTGGCTTATACTGAGTGGGTGACCCTTTTAGCATAGGCATGTTGTCAGCGTTTTTTTTTTTCTAATTCTTCTGTTTTAATCCACTGTCGTACTTTGATTGTCTTTTTATATTTTATTTATGCTGCATCGTGCCTGGTGCTAAATAAATGTTTTTTCTTTCTTTCTTTCTTCTTTCTAATGCAATCTAAAGGGGAAGTACTCTAGATACTTAAGATAAAAAAAATTACTCAAAGTACACTTTCCTAAATTTTTGAAATGAAACAAAAAGACATTCAATGATTTTTTAAATTTGCTCGCCTCACTCGTTTATCGAAGCAACTAAAATCTGTAAAAGTTGCTAAAGAATGTTTTCTTTGAGTAATATTTTCTATTTTAAGTGTTAAAAATACTTCTCCTTCAGGTGGTATTACAAAATTCTACGCCGTATACCGTAGTCAAGTGGTTAAGTAATAAACAATTTTCTAGTACAAATAAATCGTTTGTCCAACTCAAAGGTGCAATAGAAATGTCGTGGCGATGGATGGCAGAATAGATTAATTTAATTTTGTTCTCACAGATGTCGTAAGAATCGACTAAAAGACTTTAACTCGTTGAGAACCGTCATTACAGACATAATTAAAGAACAATAAGTTGCAGTCACCGGTGTCCTCGCTGTGTTTGACAGTTTAATAAACGAACAAAAGCACAATCTGATAAACCTGAAACTTATACTTTGATCTTCAATCCATCTACCAAGTGTGTATCGCACAATAGGGATGATGACAGGGTATGAAAATTAAAAATCTATTTAGTCCGTCTGTTAGGTAATGAAAAAATATTAGACACGTATTTTTTTATTTTGATGTATAATAAAATGATACTAAGATATAACGAATTAAAGTTTAGGATTGGGGGCTAAAACGTCATTTCTAGGTATAAAATGTACATAGAAGTGACGTCACGCGACATTTCAAATCAATATATCGTCATAAGTATTCGTTTCTGTAAAAAAAAAAAAATACCTACCAGTATACAATTACTCATCTACCCCATTGGCATTAAAACTTTTTATGTGGTGGAAACTCATAGTTAAACAGTGAGTTGTCATAGGCTGTTTATGTTGATAGCAAAGTAAAATACTTAAATTAGATTCGTGACACAGTCATATTTGTGGGGCCATTATATTTCCAAGTATCTGACTGTAACCTTCCCCTAAAAACATAATAATACTCAACAAAAGTCAGCAAAGTTTCAAGGAAAATTTGTAAATGTTTTAAAGAAGTCAGGGAAAGTACAGATAGTGAACACACGTTTCACGTGAGTAACCCGCGATTTTACATATGATAATGAAATCATTGTGTTTAAATTAATACATTTTATTCTTGGTATTTACAATGTCATTACTCTTTAGTAGTAAATGGGAGCATTGCAGCCGCACGCGCATTGGCCAGTGATCGACACGGAGCCAGCAGCAGTCACAGGTCCACCAAAGCTCACAGCGCCCATAATCGGGACCTGACCAGCGACGGCGGTAGTACCAGCGACTGGCAGCTCACCAGCGACCGCCACGTTGCCTTCACCAGCACCGCCGTAGGGAGCAGCACCAGGGTAGGTCAGACCATCATAAGCTAAAGGAGAAGCCAGACCGAAAGGAGCAGCAATGCCAGGGGCAATAAGTTCACGAGCAGCAACACCGGGAGCAATAAGGCCGTTAGCTGTTAGACCAGGGCCAGCCCAACCAAGAGGACCGGCCAGACCACGAGCAGCTAAACCAGGAGCAGCCAGTCCAAAAGGAGCTTCAACAACAGCTGCGGGGCTGGTGCACTGACCGAACACATGCTAGAATAGAAAAATCATGGTTAGCATTATGAAGCCGAGAGTGTAAAGTGATGGATCATTACTATTCAATATGGTAAAATTAGACAAGTTAAATGCAATGTTTACCTGGACCAAGCAAGCTTGGATGCAGAGGAACACGAAAGCGAAGGTAGACATGTTTGGTGTTCAACGAGGAGCTGAAGACTGAATGATGAACTGGATCGGTCTCCGACCTTATATACTTGACACATTGTACATAATTATAACATTATCAATTACGAGGACTTCTCATTACATCATTGCCATTTAAATGTGTCAATATTTAAACGTTTTTTTGTTTGTAAATAGTATGCTTATCACGATTGCACAAGGTTCTATTTGCTGTATGCCTACCTACCTACTAATATTCTTGGAACTTGATAACACGGTTCAGTATAAAACCCGCGACAGCAGCACTGGACATCATTCTCGTGTCAGCACTAGAACAGTAGTATCATGTCTGTGAAGGCTATCCTCATCTTCTGCGCCCAGGCGCTCCTTGTCAAGGTGAGAATGATACTTTAAAATTAATTTTAATCATTTCAACTAAGTACATCTTATACATCACGTCGTGGATAAGTATTTTACTGATGTATTGGTTATTATTTTCAGTCCGCCCTCAGCCAGTGTACTAGCAGAGCTGCAGTCGCTGAATTACCGCTAGCTGTTCCTTATGGCTTGGCTGCTCCCGTCCTAGGCACTCCTTGTGGACTGGCCGCTTCTGAGCTTGTCGCTCCTTGGACTAGCCTTGGAGCTGCTGGCTTAGCTACTCCGTACGGTCTGGCTGGTAGAGGTCTGGGCTACGATGCCATCATTGGCGCCCCCGCCATGGAATTCAGCCCCACCAGTGGTGGTGGTCTGCCTGTGACCAGTGGCTCCGCCATAGCTCCCGTCGGTATCTCCGTGGTGTCTGACAATGTGTACGAGGGTGTTATGGAAGTGATTGGAGAGCTGCCGTTCGTGGGTACTGTTGCTATGGAAGGAGTAGTGCCCTCTGCCGGTGCTGGTGCCGTCAACCATGCTTGTGGTAATGGCAGGACCGCCATGACCAGTGGCTCTGCTGCCTATGCTCCGACTGCTGCTCTGGCTCCTCTTGCTGCTTATGGTCCTGCTGGTGCTTTCGCTTCCGCTGCTTACGCTGCACCCGGACTTGGTTTCCGAGGTGACCTGATAGGCAGAGGTTGTGGCTGTGCAATCTAAGAACTTGGTAGGAATATAACCGAAAACGAACTAAATAAATTGATGAACTCAAAAATGTATTTTTTAAATGAATCATTCGATTCCTTTGATTTAAAGCCAAACATAATGAGGTCTTACATACAGGCAGTTATCGGTCAACTACTAACACATTTTAAAAATAAGTGGCAAGTCTCACAAAAAATATGAAGTAGACTTAAAACATGCAATACTTTGTGGCGACGCATGGTACATTCTAACGGATGACGTCATAAAATCCTACATCGCACATGCGAAGTTTACATTGGATTTAACACGGATAGAAAATCCCAACGAACAACTGTTGGGCAGAAAGCCCGCCAGGCACGATCACCTCGCCTGGTCGGAGGATCCTCCTTTTCCGATCTTAGGGAACTATACTCTCTGTTCCCTAAAGTGGTGACCCCGACGTGATTGGAAGTAATCTTCACTTAACGGAGCAGATCAGCACCGTCATCCGTATCGCCATCCCTCTCATTCATCATTTCTCCGCTGAGCGGTAATCAAGTCGCAGCCAACCAGCATCCTCAGCCTCATCAGGGACCACCATCGCCTGCAACGAAGTTGTGCAGCTTGGTTCTTCCCTACGGCCTCACCAGCGTCTAGGCACAGCACTTCTGCACACGGTTCTGAAGGACATCTCCTCCCGTCAACGCAGACGCCAGCCACTACGCACCTACCCTCGCAGCATCTATTCCCCGACTCACCGTGGGACACTGCGAACTCATCTCTCCGACTCACTGGAGTATCGCCCTGCACCGCTCACCCGACTCACTGGGCACTCAGCGGCACAGTTCCGACTCACTGGAACTAGGGACTTTCTACACTGGCTCTGGCACCGCACATCTCAAGCATCGACAGCCGTCTCAGCGGGATCGACCTTCGGTCTTGGGAGGGAGTGATGTGGCGACACATGGTACATTCTAACGGATGACGTCATAAAAATCCTACATCGCACATGCGAAGTTTACATTGGATTTAACACGGATAGAAAATCCCAACGAACAACTGTTGGGCAGAAAGCCCGCCAGGCACGATCACCTCGCCTGGTCGGAGGATCCTCCTTTTCCGATCTTAGGGAACTATACTCTCTGTTCCCTAAAGTGGTGACCCCGACGTGATTGGAAGTAATCTTCACTTAACGGAGCAGATCAGCACCGTCATCCGTATCGCCATCCCTCTCATTCATCATTTCTCCGCTGAGCGGTAATCAAGTCGCAGCCAACCAGCATCCTCAGCCTCATCAGGGACCACCATCGCCTGCAACGAAGTTGTGCAGCTTGGTTCTTCCCTACGGCCTCACCAGCGTCTAGGCACAGCACTTCTGCACACGGTTCTGAAGGACATCTCCTCCCGTCAACGCAGACGCCAGCCACTACGCACCTACCCTCGCAGCATCTATTCCCCGACTCACCGTGGGACACTGCGAACTCATCTCTCCGACTCACTGGAGTATCGCCCTGCACCGCTCACCCGACTCACTGGGCACTCAGCGGCACAGTTCCGACTCACTGGAACTAGGGACTTTCTACACTGGTTCTGGCACCGCTCATCTCAAGCATCGACAGCCGTCTCAGCGGGATCGACCTCCGGTCTTGGGAGGGAGTGATGTGGCGACACATGGTACATTCTAACGGATGACGTCATAAAATCCTACATCGCACATGCGAAGTTTACATTGTATTTAACACGGATAGAAAATCCCAACGAACAACTGTTGGGCAGAAAGCCCGCCAGGCACGATCACCTCGCCTGGTCGGAGGATCCTCCTTTTCCGATCTTAGGGAACTATACTCTCTGTTCCCTAAAACTTCGTCGAAAGTTCCCGATTGGACATGGAACAGAGACTGGACATAATTTTAACATCACATAACATCACGACTTTTACCCCCGAAGGGGTAGGCAGAGATGCACATTATGCCACTTTACAATATAACATCCATTTTTCACTATTTATGATAAGAGTCCCATGTAATAGGGGGTGAGCCTATTGCCATATACCGGGCACAGTTCCAGACTCCGTGCTACTACTGAGATTTTTTTTTAAACCCAGTAATACTTTGCCCGACCCGGGAATCGAATCCGTAACCCCGCACTTGCGACCACTTAGTCAACGAGGCAGTGTTTAATTTAATATTACAATTTTATTATTAGTTTGTACAATACACTTTGTTAAATAAGCAATGAGAGAGTCCGGGTTCGAAACCTGCCAACGGCAAGTACCAATGTGACTTTTTCCGAGTTATATGTACTTTCTAAGATTATTTGGACACCACTGACAAACGGTGAAGGAAAACATCGTGAGGAAACCTGGACTAATAATTTCTTATTATTAAGTTTGAAATCGCCAAACCGCAATGAGCAAGCGTGATGATTAATGCTCAAACCTTGATGATAACGAAATAAGTATTCAGAAGGTACGAAGGTATCTACACCAAGACGTGTGCACAGAAATGACCTAAAGTTGTAAGTACTTAACTCTTCTTCTCAAGTACTGAAATGAACCAGAAATCTGTTGCACCTGTAGTCACATGACAGCGCCTAGTTGTCTATAATAATCACGATAATGACTGGAAAATAATTATGCATATGACTTGCTATCCATATTATCCGGATATCAACAGATTTTGAAATTCGGATTTTACTAGTATCAATATCCGGATTTTTCGGATGGTTGTCATTGCGAATGACAAAAACGTGCAAAAAATTGACAATAGACACTCTGTAAACTCTTCAACGTACTTATTTCAACTGCTTCGGAAGGAGGTTCATAGTTATTGGGTGTGTAAGTAGAAATCTATGTATCCTGACGTGATCCTGACACAGTTTGACCGGCTAAGGGGGTTGTAATTTCATGGCAATGCTTTATGGCTTCTTTATATTTACATAAATAACGTCGCGCGCGGAAAGCAACGCGCCGCATGCTCGGATCTGGTTCTGAGGCCTTAGTACGAGTTTGATTTACGTTTAAAGTATTCGAAACGAGTACGCGTTCGGCGATGTGATTGGCCGGTGCCAATGAACCAACCAATCAAAGCGCCGAACACATTCTCGTTTCGATTTCTTTTAACGTAAAACTAACTCGTACTAAGCCCTCAGGTCGGGCGGTGAGCTACCCATGCTAGCCGTCTGCAGGCTTATGCTTAAAGAAGTACTTTTGATGTATAAAGTAAAAATAAAAAAATATAATGATATTTTTTTCATTTGATAAACGTATTAGATAACTTTAGCACATTTTATAAATGTTTTGTAGGCACTATTCTCATCGCACGGGCCAACCGCCGAGATATATCTCTTCGAGAATTACATGGCGTGATGAAGTTTATGTACCATGAGTTCGAATGCGCTTTCGAAGTTTGCTTTTTTGTAATAGTTCACCAGTTAGCTTTTGACTTAAACTCTTCTATTTCTTTGTAAAACTATTGCATTATCGAGACATAACCTTCTTCCACCAAGCGACCACCAACCACAGAACCGTCAGGCAGTATGTCAGTCATGTAAAAAAACAGTAAGCATATTCTATCCTAAATCTGTATAAGTAAAAAAAAATCTTCATCAAAAATAGTGTAGGTACAGATCAAACAAAGTCTTACATTCCATGAAACTTTTATTTATTCATTTCATAGCTCTTCTTATAACACGTATCCAATATTTGATCCACAGCCGCAACCTCTTTGATAGTTAAAAAAACCAGTATCAACAGAAGGAGCAAAGGCACCAGGCCAGCCTGCAGGATACCCATAGGAGCCGTAGGGAGGAACGCCAATAGCTGCAGCAGGAGCGAAACCAGCATTCTCACTGACCATGGCATTCACCCCATTACCACAGGCATGGTTGATGGCACCACCACCAACGGTAGGCAACGCTCCTTCCATAGCGACAGTACCCACGAACGGCAGCTCTCCAATCACTTGCAGGATTCCTTCGTAAGCGTTGTCTGACGTCACAGAGATACCGACGGGAGCGATGGCGGAGCCACTGGTCACAGGCAGACCACCACCACTGGTAGGGCTGAACTCCATAGCGGGGGCACCGATGATAGCATCGTAACCCAGGCCTCTGCCAGCCAAACCGTAAGGAGTGGCTAAACCAGCAGCTCCAAAGCCAGCCCAAGGAGCGACGAGCTCAGAAGCGGCCAGTCCACAAGGGCTGGCTAGGACGGGAGCAGCGTACCCACACGCTTGGCTAAACACCGACTGAAAAATTACAATATTTTAGAATTAAGACTATAAATATTTCTTGTCACAAAATGAGACATTAACAAAATATTCTCACCTTGACGAGGAGCGCCTGGGCGCAGAGAACGAGAATAGCTTTCACAGACATGATGCTGCTGTTCTAGTGCTGCCACGAGAATGATGTCCAGTGCTGTTGTCACGGGTTTTATATAATAAGTATTGTGTTACAGATACTAGAGCAATTTACAAATTACTTCATTGTTTTTATGTAATACGATAAGCCTACTTTTGCGATAAGTCTATTAACCAACAAACAAACGCACAATTATTGAGACAATTCAATACAAGTGATGCAATGTGAACTCCTCGCAGTAGATATGAACAATGTGTCAAGTATATAAGCTCGAGGACCGATCCAGTTCATTATTCAGTCTTCAGCTCCTCGTTGAACATCAAACATGTCTACCTTCGCTTTTGTGTTCCTCTGCATCCAAGCTTGCTTGGTCCAGGTAAGAGAAATATTTTGTTTTTTGAAAAACAATTTTGCATTCCTCGGAAGTCTGCAAATATCTTATGGCTTTAGTTAATTTCATGTCATTTGGAAATCGTTTCGAATCTGGACTAATAGAATTTATTTCTATTGCAGCATGTGTTCAGTCAGTGCACTAGCCCCGCTTCTGTTGTTGATGTTCCATTCGGTCTGGCCGCTCCTGGCTTAGCTGCTCGTGGTCTGGCTGGGCCTATGGGCTGGTCTGGTCCTGGTTTTGCCACCAACGGCCTCGTTGCTCCCGGCATTGCCACTCCCTTCGGTCTGGCTTCTCCTTTTGCTTATGATGGTTTGGCCTACCCTGGAGTTGCTCCT